GAAGTGCTTTAAGGTTTGTTTGAGTACGTAAATTCTCATTTGATTCTCACAAACACCTTGAAGTGGTTATTCCAGGTATTTTTCACTTTTTTTTTTTTTTTTTTTTTTTTTTTTTTTTTTTNATAAATTCTCATTTGATTCTCACAAACACCTTGAAGTGGGTATTCCAGGTATTTTTCACTTTTTTTTTTTTTTTTTTTTTTTTTTTTTTTTTTTTTTTTTGGCTAGGCAGTGGGGCTAAGTGACTTGCCCAGGGTCACACAGCTAGTAAGTGTTATGTGTCTGAGGCTGGATTTGAACTCAGGTCCTCCTAAATGCAGGGCTGGTGCTCTATCCACTGTACCACCTAGCTGCCCCCTATTTTTCACATTTTAGAGATGAGAAAATTGAGACTTAACTGACTTAAATAACTTTATCATAGTCCCAGTTTCAGGGGTAGGCTAAGTTGTGGATTCCAGGTCCAGAATTTTTTCCTCTCTAACTTCCAGCCTCTGCCCTCCCTCTGTACCAGGCAGAAGCTGGCTGATTGGTGCTCCCTCACCTTGTACCACTGTTCTTTGACCTTTTTCCATTTTCCCCTAGTTGAGTTGCCATTTGGGGCACTGGGCTTCCATTTCCCTGGCCTGGTGCTGCCTTAATGATAACCAGATTCTATGGCGAGGCTAGTGACATCCTGGGGATACACGAGGCCAGGAGAAAACATGCCTGTTCCTAGGACTTGGAATACTGTCAAGCTCTGATAACAACTTATAAGGAAAAATATCTTTTTGAATTCCAAGGGGTAAGCAGACAGGGCTCTCCAGGCTCATCTCTAGGCAATTGACTGTGAGGAGGGGAAGCAGGTAATTGAGTATTACTCCCTCCCCCTTCCCCCTGTGTGTCCCTGATAGTCCACAGGGTCACCAGATGAAAAAGGCTTTTGAATAGTGAGATAGTGATACTCGAGACTTGTAAAGGTTGCTGCAGTAGGCAGCTGGCTGGCAGTGTAGGAGCACTGGATTTGGAGTCCAAGGAACTGGGTTTGAATCTTGCTTCTTGGGTAAGTTACCTCTTCTTTAGGCTTCAGTTTCTCATTCCTTCCTGTTCTAAACTAATGCCCATTATCCCATGCCACTATTGAAAGTCAAGAAGGAGGGAAGGCCTCTTTTCCACAGCTCAAAGGACCAAAGCAAAACCATAGGCAAGGCGTAGGCATGGCCTCTGTGACGCTTGGGCCATTGAGGCTTCTAAACTCTCTGCTCTCACCAGCTCAGGTTTCTCCTTTTGCTTACAAGTCTTAGATGTTTTGGGCCTCCTAATTGAGCAGACAAGCTGCCCTAGAATCCTGCACCCCAGGCTGCTCTCCGATCCTGGATCATCGCAATTGGATTTTCAAAGGGCTTGCTCTTTTTTGTGTAAGCAGGGTGGTAGCTTAGATTTCAGCATTCATGTGCCTAGCTCTTTGAAGCCCTCATTTTCTTATTAATCTTTTAATATTCCCTCCTCCCTTTTCTCCAGTGGACTGTTGGCACTTTAAAGCTGCTCACAGCCTCTAATGGAAAGAATGTTTTCTGTCCCAGCAGCTGCACACTACCCCCATGGACAGCTGATTAAAAAGCCACCTCTGACTGATCTTAGAACTTCCAACTCTTGCTTCAGCCTGGTAGACCTCCGGGGCAAGCATTTGGCCTAATAGATTGGTTTCTTTCTCCCCCTCCTCTCCCCCCCCCCCCCAGTGAAAGTTCCGCAAGCTTAGGTGGCAGGGGTTATGAAGGAGAAATTTGAAGGAGGGAGGGTGATTATAATGTAGAGGTGGGGGGTACGGAAGAGTCAGTGAAGGAGGTAGAATTGAAGCAGAAATTAGGAGGAGGGCCAGGGCAGGCTGGGGCAGGTTGTTTATGGTGTCTGCGGCTCAGACGACTAAGGGTTGGGGGTGGAGTGGCAATGTTAGTGATCTCTAGAAGGGTTTCTTCACTACAGGCTTGCCTTTAGGACCATCATCTCAACCTTGCTCTTCCTTCAAGCGAAGTCTTAGGTCTCTCTACTAGGGCAGTGTTAGGAAAGGCACAGAAGAAAGCCAGACTTGTCTTTGCTTACCCTTTTGTGTACTCAGCATGTGACCAGATATTATATGTATTTCAGTAATCAGATGTAGTCTCTTCCCTTTGCAAACTTAGTTTAGTAGAGTTGGCAGAAATAGGATGAAGACTAGATGATTTCACTGAGAATGCATACAGGAGTCATTTAAAGTCCAAAACAGGGCCTAGAAGACTATCTTATACAGATTCAACACTCCCTTCCCTCCCCAGAAAAACATGCTACCCCTCCCTGTCACAAGTCTAGACAACTCTGGGCAAGGCTAGCTCGTCCTTCATAAAGACTTAGTTATTAGGACATGCAAAGTCCTGTGCTAGGAAATAGAAATAGGGGAAGATAGTTGTTGCCCTCAAGATGCTTTACAGTCTACTTGGTCATGGACATAAAGTGTCTAAGAAACCAGATCCATAGCAGCATAGCCTCTGTGGGCATTCTGTTATGTCCTCACCTCTCTCATGATAAGAGAAGCCAGCTTTGCCACTACGAGGCTTAAGACATGGCATTTCAGAAGACAGACCTTTTTTTTGCTAATTGCAGGAAATGCTTCCCTCACCTGGGGATGGGAATCTGATATCTCTTTTGTAACCATTGAGGCTTTTGTTTACCAGAGAGGAAAACTCCTCTCACTTTGGGGATCCTAAGAGTAGCTCTGCTGCAAACTGGAGGGGGCTTTACCCATACAGGCAAGTGCTTCTGAGTTCCAGTGAAAGTTTCACGCTACATTGAAACAATACCAAGTAGGTACCTGATGTTTGTTGGTACTAGGGAGGATAGAAAGCTAGCATTAGAAATGCCAGCTATCTAGTGGAGGGCTCCAGCACAGACACAAATAACAGACATCAATCACTGTGCAGTATTTTAAGTGCACGAAGGAGATTCAAACCAAGTGCTGTGTGAAAATGTGAAAGCTATGTAAAGGGTGGTTATTCTGTAAGGGGAGGCTTTCTGGAAGAAGTGGCCTTTGAGCCATTCCAGGCATTTAGGGAGCAGCGTGAGCAAGGGGATGAAGGGAGATGAGAAGAGTACAGCATGTCAAATAATGAAGAGTCTTGCTATGATTTAAGGCTGAAAAATTAGGGTGGTACCAGGTTGTGAGGCTTTTGAGTCTCAACCAAGTAGTTAACAGCTGACTAGGATTCCAGCTTCAAGGACTGAGGCTGCATTTCTTTAGAGGCTGCCGATATTGGGCCTTGGGTAGTGGTAGTAGTGCCTCAGTGGGCCTGGGAGTAGAAACTCGTAAGTCTTCATTCAGCAGAGAAGGTTTATTTCAAAGCTCGGTGCCTGACTTTAGGATGGAAAGGGGAAACCTGAGAGATGAAAGATGGTAATCCTTTCCCCTAGCCCCTTGCATCCTCTTTGTAGGCCTGATGATCAATCTTCATCAGGCCTGTTTGGGCAGGTTAAGAGGAGAGCAGACCCTAATTGATACCCTTATTCCCTCGGTTCTAAGTGACGTAACACTAACATTAGCCTATAGGAAGAATCCCAAAAGATTGAGAGCATAGCTATCCACTTGCAGAACACAAAATGCTACATGTGGTTAGGTGTTAGGTGCCATTCTTGCATTAACCCAGAAGCCAGTTGCCAAACTTGAGTGTGATCAAGGTTCCAGAGGGAGAACAAAGTACCCACAGGGGCTGGAGAAAGCAAAAGGCCATGGAAATGAGGGCTTCCCCTACTCCACTCAGAAGCCATCCTTTCCCATTGCCCAGGGATACCTTGGATGAGACCTAGAAACTTAGTAACTGGAATGGAAGGATCTGAAGGGACTTTCGTCTTTTTTAGTTCCTACCCTAATACTGTACTTTGCACAAATCATTCAAAAAAACTTAGTACCTACTAATGAAGTGGCAGAGGCCCAGGCACCAAGGTGTTTGGGGCTGGGGGGAGGGTGCATCGGGGAGAGGGGAAGAGTAAGGGGGAAGAAATGATGAGTTAGTTGGGTCCTGGGGCGAACATGAGGCAGTGGGAGAGGGATTGAGGAAGTGGCTGACTCCTCTTTCAGCTGTAGCCCCTTCTTAAGGTTGCTGGCTATCCATGGGAATCTGTCACTTGCAGTTTGTTCCTTGTCAGTAGCAGATCATCTCAGCACTCCCAACACTTGGTGAGGTTTCCTTTTCCTACCCAGTCGCCCTCCTCCTACCTCCCTTCTAAGTTCTCCCCCTTTCTCCTCCCCTCCTCCCCCCTTTGCTCCTAGCTCTGTCTCTGTCTCCTGGACTCACTCATAGACCCTGCCATGAATTTTCTCTGACCCCTTGGGGCCATTCCCACATGTAGCTTTGAAGTGTGTGCCCAGAGCATGATTGACGGGGAAGTTTTCGTGGCGGCAGTGGGGAAATGAAGAGCTAAGGGCTGGGCTTTGAACTAAAGGACTTTGAGCTGGGAGATGCTATGCTTAGTTATCTCCTTCAGAATATTAATTATTTACCTCGGTAATTGGGCAGGAGGAAGAGGTTATTAAAAAATTCCAACACTTACTCCCTATAAGAACCTTATTTTCCAGATTACATCTGGCATGAAAGGAACAACCTGGAAGGCCATGTGCTGGGGATGTGCACTAGGGAGGTCCATGCTTACCCCTTACAGGGCTGGAATCCTTTGTCCCACTCCTCCAGAAGGGACCCCCTTCCTTCAGGTTTTAAGAGTGTCATGCTTGGGGCTGAAATAGTAAGCAGAGGTAGATGGGAAAGATACAGCCTCAGCACAGAAGACAAATACTGGGGAATACCACAGATTTGGAGCAGAAGGGGTTGTCGAAGTTATCCTGGCGGTTAGGAGAGCACTTTTCTTCCCTCCCATCTTACTCAAGGCCATTCATTTTCCTGTTGTGAACCCCATGGCATTCCATAGGAAAACTGTCGCTTCCTGTCTTCCCTGCCCCCATTCTCACTTGGTCCTTCTGACTCCTCTACCCCTCTGTCTAGGCTAACCTCTTTCCTGCTGCCCTTGTTCATTTTGGGTCTGAAGAACCAACAGGTGAGTGAGAAGCCTTCGGCTGTGCTGAGCGAACAGACAAAAGAATGCCAGCAACCCTGAACCCTCCACTCCTGCCTTGCCTCAAAGTTATTAAAAGATCCTTGAGGAGAGTTGGGGGACAAAATTTCTTGAAGGAGCCTGGAGTGGGGGCTTCAGCACATGTTGGCAGGACCTGAGAGCTGCTGTGCACCCTTCATTTAGGTCATAGGAGACAGGCTCCAGCATGTCCCACCTTTCTGGGGTTGTGATCCCCCATGGTGCAGGGAATAGGACATCACCATTGGTCACACTGTCCTTAAGGATAGCCAGGGAAGCCATGGGAGAAAGTTGTCCAGAGCTAAAGGCTGGGGACAGCTCTGGGTCTCACTCTTCCTTCAGTCCACCTGAGGGTGGGACTCGGGGTTTTGCACAGATTTCTACTTGGAGCCCCAGCTGCTGGAGAACACCATCTCTCCGTCTTCTGCTGATGTGCTGGTGGCCAGGTGAGTCTTGGGAATTGGAGAGGGGGGCTGAGGGTTCAGGAACCAAACAGGTCCTATTTGAGAGGGAGGGAAACACTGACCCTTGAGCTTAAGGCCTACCCACCCCCCCCCCTTTTTTTTTGGTTGTCTGCTCAGGTGTATGTCCAGGGGCTCAGCGACACCAACTGTTTTGCCAACCCTTGAGCCTGAGCTTTCTGAACCGGAGGAATCAGCCGAAGTGGCAGTAGAACCCCCAGAACCAGTTGCAGGAACTGCTCAGCCTGTGAGGAGGAATCTAGGCAAAGTGCCCAAGTGGCTAAAACTCCCAGGTACCCTTTGTGGCAGTTGGATCTCACAAGGAGGGAGGATGACTTGGGGCTAACGGTTACCACTAATTCTTTGCCCTTTGTATTACAGCTGGAAAGAGGTGAGAGCCCATCATGAAAGGAGGGGACTCCTCCTCTACCCCTGCTACTCCTATCCACTCCCCACCTGAGCCAGGAATAAAGAATTGGTGTGCTCCTCCTAATTAATATCAGTGTCTTCCTTTCTTATTGTCAGGGTGATGGGATGAAAGTGTAAACTCTAACAGTTGGTGAACAACATCTTGCCTCTTACAATTAAGGTTTCTTAGCCCAACAGAAATTAATTCTGAGGGGTCAGAAGCTAAGGACTCCAGTTCCACGCAAAATGAAATTTGAACCTGGATTCACATATCCAGCTCAAATACAGTAAAGCCTTTCTGAGCCTCCGTTTCCTCATCTGTAAAATAGGGGTAATAATATACTACCTGTCTCATTGGGGAGGTCATATGGCTAGAGAACTAGCCTTGAAGCTAGGGATACCTGGGCTCAAGTCCTGACACATACTGAATGTAATACCCCAGGCAAGTTACTTCTCCTTTAGTGCTTTTGGAAACTCTCCAAGACTCTAAATTCCAGAAAAGGTGCTGACCTGCAGTGGTAGAGGAAACTTCTTCATCCACCTGAAAGTCTTTTCTACCAGTGAAATCACAGATCGGGCCCTTCTCATTGTCTAGTTGCAAGGAAGGTGCTTTGTAAACCTTGGGCAAGTCACAGTCTCCCTGGGACTTCCTTGTCTTCAACTATAAAATGAGAGGTTGGATTAGAGGGCCTCTGTCCCTTCCCTCCCCACATCTGTGATTGTGACAGCCCATTCCCTTTCACTTTTCCAGTCACTAGTTCTCTGATCTGGTAGATGAGAAAGATGAATTCACCAACTAAACTCTTCTAACAGGGAATGCAGTCACTTTCCTATCCCAGGAGTTCTGTTCTCCTTTAAGAAACACAGGTATCCTTAATGCCATGGGCAATACAGGGTTCAGCCTCTGCTCCTGGATTTTTTTTCCTTTGTACGTAATTGGTGTCATTAATTACGCCCCTGCTAAAGAGAACAAAACTCCAGTGAAAAGAACCTTTCATGTGATCATCTGCCTCTGCTGCCTAGGCTGGAGCAGCCAGGGGTCTGGCTACCCTTCATTGTCTGGCAGAGAGAAGGCTGACTAGGATAGGGTTGGGGAGTCTGTGAGAAGGAGGGAAATGGAGCAGTGGCCACCTTTTCACTCTTCAGGATCTCCCTAATGGGTCCCTGTCCAAGAACTTTGTAACCATCTTGTCTAAGACCCAGCTGTGGGTGTGCCCTGTGCCACTTGGGCAAGTAGTATCCAGGCCAAGCAGGGGTTTCCAGTAGCTACTCCCATTTCTGCTTATTGGGCTGGACACACCCATACCTCTTCCCAAAGGAATAAAGCACAGTGGAGCTTTATACCATCTGAATGAACTTCAAAGTGGCTAAAAGGGGCGCCCAGGGTTCCTGGCACTTATCATTGTCTCCCCATACCAGCCAGCATTTCCCTTCAGGTCTAATTACTTCCACATGCTCCCAAGTGCTTTGAAGCACAAAACTTTAGTGAGAGAAGGAAAGGAATAAGAGAAAGGTGGAGAGAAGGGGTGTATTGGGTCAAGGGGTGGAGAAAATACGGTACAAGAGGGAGTAAAAAGCTCCCACTGGAGTCAGATTCTTTTTGAAAGGTATTCAAAGCCAAGCCTTGTGTCTCCTGCCACCTCTGGACAGTCAATACCAGTCCTAGTGCATCAGCAGCTCCCACATTGGAACAACAATGGTATAGATTAAAAGGAACTAAAAAAGCCACTTAGAAAACAAAAGCTAATGAGCAATGCCTACCAAAGGCTCAGACCAACATAACTGGAGTCAAAGGTTGGTTCTGTTTGTTTAAAATTATGGCTGGTTCCAGCTGGGTGGGAATGCGGCTCTGCTCCCTCACACCTGATTCCAGGCAGTTGGCTGTCCAAGCAATGCTGTAGTCTCTGGGCTCATGTTCAGCCTCCTGGCTTCTGTGGAGTATGGTTAACTCTGCTGCTGTCTATAGCTCTCCAGCAATGTTTGGGTCTTGTAAAGCTAAAGTTGGGAATGGTGGGAAGGCTTCTAAAATGAGTCCTCATCCATTAGGACTCCTATCATTCTTTCCCACTGAAGGAATCAGGAAAATGACAGCCAAACAGCCAAGTTGGAAAGAGCCCCACGCTGGATTCAGGAGACCTGGGTTCAGCTCCAGTACTGTTTCTGGGCCTCATTTTCTTCATCTGTAAAATAGTATTAATATTTGCACTGCCCACCTCACAAGGCTGCTTTGTGTGGAAAGTGCTTTGTAAATATTAAAATGCTAAACAAATGTGAACTTGAGAGGCAACTGCTTCCTTTAGACTCAGGCCCAGAGCAAAGAAAGGCCTTTCTTGGACTTGGTTCTATGGAGTGGAATGTGGAAATCGGCAGGCATGTCAAGAAAATGGAGCATCCCCTTGGCCAGTCTCCTTTACAATTTATGCTGCTGGCCTCTCTTTATGGCACAGAGGAAAGAGTGGGTACAAAAACCAGCCAGACTGAAGATCACCAGACACCTGCTAAGGCACCATGGGGGTTAGGACTCTGTCAAGCCTCTTAGTGAACGCTTGGGTCACTGCACTAAACCTTGGTCTTATTTCATTCTGGTAGTACCAGAATAAAGTGACTCTTCTTCCAAGGCTCTTACAAGAAGAAAAAGCAAAGACAGGTGGAGTAAGGCATCCATTGTTATTAGGCACTAGGTGGCACTGGAGAGCCAGCACTGCCTGGAACCCAGGGTTCGTAAGGGAACCTTTTAGTCAGTCAGAACCTCCTCCTAGGAGTTTGGGTACCACAGTGGAGGTGCCAGGATGCCTATGCAGTATTGCTTGTGTGTACACCCTTGGGATGCTACTTCTCATCTCAGTCAAGGTGGGGAAGCCCCCACATTATGAATCTCTTCATTCTTCCCATGCCTGTATGGCCCAACGCATGTCTGAGGAAACTAATGGGGTAAGTGGACCTGGGTGTCTATTCTCTCTGTAGTATCCACCCCCTCTGCCTGTCGGTCCTGTGTGGCCCCTATAATATGCCACCCCCACTCACACTCAGGGCCACTGCTCCTGCAGGCAGTTCCAAAGGGCCTGGGGCCAGCCCACACAAACACTACTTTATCCTGCCCAACTGCTGCAGCTTCTGGGGCAGTGGCTGCAGTGAGAGTAACGTTTTCCAGGCAAGCCAGGCTCTGGGCTGCAGCTCATGCCCACATGTGTAAGGTTTCCGATTTCACAGCTTCTCTCAGCTGCCGGCGGGGAGCTGGCTTGTGAGGGCTGGGGCATTCACACACATGCTGTTTGTTATTCTGTCCTTTTTAAGAGTTTTGCTTTCGTCCTAAAAAGATGGAGAAAAAAGTGGGGGGGGGGCAGGGGGATGGGGAGCTGAATAAGGCTTTGAAGCAACTTGACTTTGGGTGATTAATGGCAGTGAGAAGGCTGAGCCAGGGAGGGAGACAGTTTTGATTTATTGATGTTGCTTTGTGAGAACAAATTTATAGCTCAGGGAAGCAGCTTCTGAGGAGAATATCAAATGGTTAAAAGGTTACAAACTAGCTTTGATGTCAGACGGCAGCAAGAATGTTGGGAGAAGGCAAGCACCAGGCTCTGTGTATAAACTAGAGATCAGGTACCTGATGCTTAGCTCAGTGCTCTATAGAGGGCTTGGGGAGCTCCTCTTGGGGCCATAGCTGGGGGGATTCTGCTGAGGCCAGAGGCTGCCAGGAGATAAGGCAGGGGGTTGGTGACTCCTGAGCCCCATGTACAAACAGCCTTGGTTTTCCAGGGAGCTAAGAATGGATGGCAGCCCAGCACCTTAATCTTTAACTGAGTAGCCCCTGGGGTAGGAAATCCAAGTGTGCTGGAACTAGAGCACTTCACTTTGTTCCAGCGTGACCTGGCTTGCCCCCTCTTAGTTCTTACCTTGATCCCCGAATCTCATCCACTACCCCTTTCCTCCTCCCTCACCTCCCACCTTGTGCTACTTCCAGGAAGACACCACACAGGCTTCCTTATTCTCTAACCCAGGCAGAGGGGAAAGAAAGGGACCCTCATCCTGATGCTAAGTGACTGTCGTAGAAATTCTCGGGGAGACAGCAGCTACAGACCTTCTGTTTAGTTTGGTTCAGTCATGTCAGGAAGTAAACATAATCTGGCCTCTTTGGATTTATTATTGAAATAAGACACCACCCAAAATGTTGGTATGAGGTTGATGCCCTGTCCTGGAATAGTCAGAGGCAGGTAGACGACTTGAAAAGGTTCAGGTAGCTCAGCTTGATCTAATAACCTTCATCTTCTCCATCGCTGCTGCTTCTAAAAATCAAGAAGCTAGATGGAGAGAAAAGGAAGCTCAGTATCTTCAAGTCATCAGCATACAGATTACTAAACCAGTTATCAACAATGACTGTGCTCTTCCTAGCTAGGATTAGATTTATAATTATAAGACCCATGTTCAAATCCTGACCCCATTGTGTCAGCCAGGGTCAGTGTGCTCACCTACCAAAAAAAAAAAAGGTCAGACTAGATAATCTCTCGACGCTATCATTCAGTGTACCAACTGCCCACCCCCACTGAGAAATGAGGCTGACGCTTCCATACCAGCTGGGGCAACACCTTCTCGAACTGTTCAATGTCCACTTTATCCTGGTCTTCAGCCTGGGCCTGCCTTATCGCTCGCGCTGCAGCTTCTGTTCCACGAACACAGGAGAAAAGTAAAAGTTTAATTTGGGCAGGATCAAATACAGGATCATGGCTGGCTTCAGATGTGGTTTATAAAAACCCCAACATGAGAAATGACTGAGCTCCCTGCTCATTTTGCCCAGGATTACTTTGTTGCTCTGAGCTGTGAACTCATGGCTAATCTACTCTCCAGTATTCCTCCTCATAAATTGTCTTGAAGTTGGCCAGGTGCTTCTTCTGAGTACAGTATAAGCTCCTTGAGGGCAGGGAAGAGACTTTTTTCATTTTGTCTTTGTATTCCCAGCAACTAGGCATGTCTTGCATTTATTAGATACTCACTCAATAAATGCTTGTTGGATTGACTTAAAACTGTCATTAACCCAGCTTTTCAGCTTCAGGATTTTAAAAGTCAATTAAAATGCAGGAAGGCATATTCCAGTGAAGAGAGAGATTGGGTGCCTCCAAGGAACTGGGAGAAATACAATGTGGCTCTAACACAAATAAATCAGAGATTTTAGGATTGAGTCTTAGTCCCCATGTGAAGCTATCGATGGGAATTTTAAAAAGGGAGAGCCATAACTATCAAATCACCTCGGACAAAGATCTTCAGCATCTCCACCATGAGCTGCAGAGCATCTGCACTGACTGGAAAGGAGACAGAATAGAATTACTCGCATGCTGCCATCCCTATATGCCCACAGTCCAACCTGCTCTAGACTGATTTAGTGTCTGTCTGCCTTCGTCTCTTCCATGGATTAGCTAGCAGCAGCAGCTTTAAGCCTTGTCTGGCCTCATGCTGGGATAATCAGTGCAGTGAGCCCTACCATCTCTTCTTCATCAAATATGTAATCCTTTTAATCTCTCTTTATCTTGTTGGAGTGGAGCATATGTCCATGTGTCTTTGTGCCTGCTCAACACTACCTGGGGAAAGGATCAGGTGCCACGCTTATTTTTTAAACTTCTCAATCTACAAGGCAGCAGTTGGTTGGATACTCAGTAAGTGTCACTGACTGACTTCACAAGATCCTGATGCTAAAACTTGACTTATGAGTGGAAAACCACCTTTGACTTTTATGAACTAATGCAGACAAAATTCTGTGAACAAAACCAAAAGAAAAGTCTCCATAATGACCAATATGCCACAAAAAAAAACATCACTAAAAGACACCTGATGTTGAAGTTCTGATCAATGCAGTGGTCCATCCTAATTTCAGACAGTGAAACATGCCTCTCTCCTCTCAGCAGATCTTCAAGTATAAAAATGAAGTCTGCAGTGTCAGACATGGCTTATATGTTAGCTTGTTTAAGCCTACTTATGCTACTGAGTTACAAGGGAAGTTTCTGTTGGGGGAGATGGGGGGGGTCTCTAGTGATTTAAAGAAAAAACAAAGCTTTGATTAAAAAAAAAAACTTGTTTAAAAAAGGACAGAAATTACCTTTGCATCTGTCATCCTTGAAGTGTAAGAACAGCAACTTGTTTACCAGCTCCTATGGGAAGAAGGGAATAAGAGCTGGTAACATTTGGGGACTACCAGCAGCCACAAAAGTCAAAAATGATTCTGCTGATCTCCTGCTTCCCCCACCACTGATAGGGAGGGACCCATCTACAATCCCAAATATTACACGAGAAGCTTAAATAGGCAATTATACACTTAAATACACAAAAATACATTCCACTTAAATATTATCATCTACCCTGCAAGCCTCTAAGTCCTTTGCTAAGCTTGGCAGTGGTGGTGGACTCCCGACTTGAGTTCCAAGTACCCTACTGTCAGCGAGGTGTGCCACGGGAATAATGGCAGCAGGATGAGGAGCTTAAAATGGGAACAGGGACTAGAATTTGGTACTCTTTAGAAGTTGTGGGCTGCAGATCTGCCAGACATAGGGGACTACAGCTGATTGAAGACAGTAAGTTGAAAGAGGGTGACTATATTTGGAGAAATGAAAGGGCAAAAATATTAAGGGAAATAATGAAAAAAAAAGTCAGAATCCTTCAAACTATTCTACAAAGCAGTCATTATCAAAGTGATTTGGTGCTAGTTAAAAAATAGATCAATCAGTGAAAAAGTTTAGGGATACAACACATAGAAGCAAACACATAGTAGTAGCATAATGTTTGCTAAGATCAAAGACCTCAGATGCAGAGGGAAAAATTAATTTTTGAAAAAAAATTAATTTGACAAAAAGTGGAATGTAATCTGGCCCAACTAAGATAAGGCCCAACTAAGATAAGGTCCAAATGCATCCAAATTATATCCATTTAGATATAAAGGATGATATAAACAAGAGGATCAAATAAGCAACTGTGACCCTTGAGATCTAGGGAAAAAAGATCAGAGAGATAAGAGAGGATCACCAAAGATAAAAATGGATATTTTTATTACATAAAATCAAGACATTTTTTGCACAAGCAAAACCGAAACTGTTAAAAGGAAAATGTAATAGAAGAAAACAATTTTGAAGCAAGTTTCTCTGTCACACAAAACGTGGTATATCCCAAAAGTCTTAGTGCAATTTTAAGCTACTAAAGCTTACAATTTTGGCACATCTTATATACAAGGACCTGATTCAAATCTACAAGAACAAGGGATATTTCCCATTAGATAAATGATTAAAGGATGTGAACAGGCAATTTTCCAAGAAATCTAAGCTATCAAAAAGCATATGAAAAAATGCTGCAAATTTCTAATAGTGAAACACAAATTAAAACAGCTTTGTCCTCCTATCCACCAGATTGGCAAAGGTGATAAAAAAAAAAAGAATAACAAAGGACTGTAAAAGTGTAGGTATACTAATAAACTGCTGATGGAGCTCTGAGTTGGTCCGGCTATCCTGGAAAGCGATTTGGAACTGTACTCAAAAAAGTCATTAAACCTTTGATCCAGCAATATCACAATAGGAAACTGCTGAATCTCCTGCTGAAGAGGGTATATGGGAAAACCCAAATGGAGAGTAAAATGAAATGCTAACAAGAGAATAAATATTTCTAAATTAACTGAAAGAGCTGGCACACATTTTTCACACAAGATGTGTGAGACAAAGTAGTCTGATAAATACATTGCTCTGATCATATTTCTCTAACCATATGGCTCCTCATTGCCTACCTAATAAGCTTTATCTCACACTACTCACTCTTACCTACTCTACATTCTAGTCAAACAAGCCTTGTTCTAGTCATATCTTTTCTCCTATTATTTATGTATATCCCTCCTCCCATTAGACTATATGGTCCTCGAGAGTAGGGTCTGCCATGCATTCCTCTTGTAGTACACCTTATACATTCAAATAAATGTCTGAATTGAAGAATAGTTGTAAATTTTAGCATCTCAGGTCAGAAGCACTCTTGTGGAATTCCATCAAATAAATTCCATCAAATGTGGAATTCCATCAAATAAAAAGCTATCAAGTGGGGCGGAGGTAGCTAAGTTTTATCCCCCCAATGGTAACAGTGGAGTGGTTACTAAAAGCAGAAACCAGTGGGATGCATTGCCAAGAAAAATTAAATTAAAATTTTTTTTTAAAAAGTGTTCTTAGCACCACCTGCTGGTTATTTCTGGAAATGAGATGTTCCCCATGTGCTTGATTATAATAGTGCTTCAATTCATATAGTGTTTTTTAAGGTTTGCAAAACATTTCACAAATATTATCTCATTTGATACTCACAAAAATCCTGGGAAGCTATTATCTCCACTTTATAGTTGAGGAAGCTAAGACAGAGGTTAAGAGACTTGCCCAGGGTCACACAGTAGGAAGTATATGAACTCAGGTCATCCTTAATCAAGCTCAAAGCTCTATCCATGTGGCACCCTAGCTGCCTCATGTATTATCAATCACAACCATTCTATTTGTTGGTTTTGCTCAACTATTTATGGGGAAATGTACTTTAGGAGGAAAAAGATGTCACTTTTTAATTTTGGAATACCTTGGCAACAAAAGTTAAAATAAAGAAAGGACTGAGTGAACAGCAATGTTCATGCCAGGATTTTTAGCCTACTCTGTGTCAGGCACTGTGCTAAAACCTGGGGATACAAAGAAAGGAAAAAGATAGCTTCTTGCTCTCAAGGAGCTTACACTCTAAAGAAGACAACATGCAAAATAACTGTGCAAACGAGATACACAGGATAAATTGGAAATAAATAACTGAGGGAAGGCACTAGCATTAAGAAGGCATGGGAAAGGTTTCTTTTAGACACTGGGATTTCAGCTGGAACTTTCAGGAAGCCAGGAGGTAGAGATGAGCAGTAACAAGCCTATGGACCCCTTCTCAACATGTTTTTAAGTGTATGAAACAAAATACCAAACATAACTGATTATATTAAAATAGCTATTGAAATATTTTTTAAAACAAGTTCATGGACCTACAGATTAAGAAATGCTCATTTAGGCTGAACAAGTTGTGGTATATGAATGTAATGGAATACTACTGTGCT